CTCTTTAAACAGAGGCAGCCTCTGCAGCAAGGTCAAAGCTCAAGTGCTCCCCAGACCTGCACAGTCCCTTGCCAGGCAGTTGCAGTTTGTTCAGAACAAATGGATTTTCCAGCTGTGTGTAATACCTCAGGAAACAGAATTTTGGTGTAGCAGTAACACATGCACCAGATCAAGACTGCAGTGCCCACAGAACTGGTCAGTCCCTCCAAGGGCACGACTCAGGAGGGTGCGACACATTATTTCAGGACTGGGAAGCCCAGGTCAGAAAGAACCTGCATTCTCCCCAGTGTTTTCCTTCTTGGTTTATCAAACACCACTTACACTGCTGTACAAATAACAGCACTGTGCTGGGAGATGAGCTGAGCTGAACAATCCACAGCAAAGGCCGGTGCAGCCCTGCCTGCCCCGATGCTCAGGGAGCCACTGCACGAAGCCAGGCACACACTCAGCCCCCAGGAGACATTTCATCTGCAATTTACCTTCACTATTTCTATTTTTCAACCTAGCTGTATCACAAATCTCTTCAGAACGTTCAGCTTTCAAAGAGCTTTCCAGCAAAGGCACCAGCAGAGGCAGCGTGTGACTCACCAGCCGCCCTGAGAGCTCCAGAGCAGACAGACCCCAGTGAGAGCATGGCCATGGCCAGCCAGAGAGGAGGAGCCACTGATCCCAGCCAGCAGCACCCCTGCCTCCCTCCTGCCCACTCCTTACTGCTGCAGATTCCCTCCTCAATCCTCAAGTGAAACTTCAGAATTGCTATCTGTGCTGCAAAACTCTCTCAGTTCAGTTTGCAATGTTTTGCTTAGGCTGCATTTTTAGTTTTTCTGGACACAGGCCTTGTCTGATTTGTCTGCAGGGAAGTACAAGAAAAACTGGGAGGAAATAAACTGAAAACAGTCCAGAAATGAAGTTTACCTTTCCTCTCCCACCACTCTCAAATCTAACCCCAAAAAGCTTTCAGCTGAAACAGAACTGAAGCTCTCAATGCTTTGAACAAAGAAATCCCTGTTCAAGCCAAGACTACATGAGCTTGGTGTGTTCTCCTTTTTGCAGAAAAGTGCTTTAGAAGATAAGTTTGATTTGCTTGTACTTTTATTTCCTGAGCCAGTGCTGCTCCCTGTCCCTTGTTTCCTTTTTTTAGGAACTGGAGGAGAATGTTTCCTTCAGCTTTGATCACTAATTTTGTGACAACTGATTATAATTGCAACTGCACTTACAGCACTTCTGTCCTTGAGGTTAACCACACAAAATCATGCCAGGTTCTGTCAGGAATTGAAAAGTTTAGCTAGAATTGCTACAAAAAATCTGGAATAAAACTTACAGATGCCTATCTATTTGAAATGGGGGCAAATGACAGATTCCAAACTGTAACACCGTTCTAGAGCGGGAACGGTGGGAAGGGCCAGGAAGTATTTGCAAGGCAGATGGGCAGGAAGAGCTGCAGGTCAGCACAGCTCCTGTTGGGCTGCTCCCTTCACTGGAGGATGCACAGGGTTCAGTCCCTGCCCCAGGACATGCCAGCAGTCCCTGCTTTCAGGATGTTGTCATTCTGCACTTTGCCTTCAGTGCTTAGGGCTCTCACAGGCTGTCACTGCCCAGCAGGAGAGGCACATTCCATCCCCAGGAAAGTACACAAGACCCTGAGACACTCAGTAGTGACTTCCCTACTTTCACCCAGTCAGATGAGCCACCAAAAGCTCTCCCAAACCAGCTGCAGTGGGGAACCCCATCTCCCAGCTGAGCTGCATTGCTGCTGCATTGAGCTACAGCTGAGCTGGTCTACTTACAACAAAGATGGCACAAAGACACAGGTTCCAGGGAACAGCTGCTACAGCTGGAGCTGGAGAGAGAACAAGACCAGGACTGGAGAGGTGGAGATCCTGCTGTTTACGTGCAGGACATGAACTGTGCTGATAAGCCATGAATTTGATAAGCCACACTTGGTAAGGCTCAGCACAGATTAATGCGTCACTTCAGCAGCCAGCAAAGCTGACAAGTACAGATTGGTGGAGACCCACTGGCCCACCCTGGCTGGGTGCTGCACTCCTTCCCTTCACAGAAAGGAGTCCCAGGGCTTTACCTCATGGCTTGTGTGCCCAGGTGTCACTCACTGAGACGCGCCCAGAGCGCTTCCAAGAGGACAAGAGTCAGTAACTGAGACCATTTCTCTCTTGTGGGAAAGGCTGGAGCTCAGAGCAGGCAGAAGCATAAGGTTAACCTGAGTAAATTAGACTGGGAGGGAGAAGAGACCCACCAGCTCAAACTTCAGTCTAGAAGGGAAAACAAACTAGTTTGGAAAGAGAAACTCTGAAATCTCCAAATATCCAAAGCTAAGTCAAAGGCAAGTGGAGAAAAAATAAACTTATCATGTAGTTTACAGTTCACAATGCTGGATTCCTCCCTTCATTCTCTAAGAAAAGCTTCTGTGGTCTTAGTGTGAAAAATCAAGATATTTTAAACAATAGTGAAACAAGTCTCCAAGTGCTCATTTTGCTTTGTGCCTCTACCTGCAGAAGTACTACAAAGTCCTGTCCTGAGGACTTGCAACAGTCCCTCAGACTCACAGAGTCTCAGAGCCCACACCAGGCTCAGCTTGCCATGGATGCATTTTGACTTTGCTGTTTCAAGGAAACAGTGCTTACTTCTTCCCAGGGAAACATGGTGTGCTACACTTGCTTGATGCAGGCCAGCATCAATCAGCTGGAAGAGGAAAGGGCCTCTCCCAGCATCCAGGAAGGCAAGAACTCTGTGGGAAGCTGCTCACAGTCAGTACATTTAGCCCTGCTCATCTCATGGGCCCCTTGGCGTCCAGCACAGCGTGACCTCACCCTGCAGCCTGTGCAATCCACAGCAAAACAGAGCAAACACATCCAAAATGAGGAACATTAGTTCTGATGCCATTTTGTGTTTCCACTCAGGCAGTGGTGCTGATCAGCTAACCATACACAGACACCCCAGCTATACAGCTGGTATAGAGTGTCCATGAACTACACTTTAGGGCCACACTTGGCCATTCCCTGTGCCACCTGCTCTATTCTTGGCAGTTTAGACTTCCCTACTGGTGCAGGCTGCCTGCAACGCTCCCCTGTGTGTGCTTGGGGGGAATTAGACCTTCTGTCCCCAACTAGAATTATTAAATTCACTGTCACCGTGCATATGACAAAGGGATTTTAGAGTCCCAGCTCCCTTCCCTTTGAGCCTCTGTTTCTGATGGGTGACACGCCATCACAGCTTCAAACACACCTGAAAAACCAGGGCACTTCCAGCCTCCAAGCACTCCCCTGCATAATCCTTTGGAGATGCAGAAAAGTGTTCAAACACTTTAGCTTTGGAAAGCCAAGACTAACGTCCAGCTGTTCAGAGGATTGTACTGTGCTCGTGGGAGTGGCAGCCAAGCAGGGCTTTATGTCCCCACAGCCAAAGCAGCTGGCCAACCACAGTGACATCTCAGGCATTCTCAACCAGAACCTGGAAAAAGGTCAAGAAAGTGCCAGAAACTGCATCAGAAGGGAAAGACACACAGATAAATGCTTGTTGGAAGGAGTGTTGAGCAAGAGAATGAGAGTGCCAAGGAAAATGAAGGGCTGGTAATAGAGAGGGTTAAGAAAGGAATAGAAACAGTCTCTTAGGGATGAGCAAATAAAGACCACAGGGTTGGATGAGAATCACATCCCCACTGAGAGATCTTCATCACACACATCAGGGCAGGGACAGAACACTGAATACAAACAAGCAGAATAAAAAGCCACAGCTGCCTTGGATAACCCTGACACTTCCAGCTCACCATCATCATCCCCAACAGGCAACACCTCACCTGCCTGCCTGTGAAATTCGAGCTCTGCACAGCTCCCTCCAACAGGACAACAGCCTAAACTCTCCTCGGTCCAGCAGCACCATGCAGTGCAGAGCTATCACCCCATGCCTTGGTGGCACCATTTCTGAGGGCACTACATGCAAGCAGCTTCACACTCCAGAAGCCTCCAAGACCACTGCATGGCGTTCTGGTTTGTAATCTTGGTTCCCCCACCAGTTCTCGATACAACAAGAGCAAGTGTTTGAGACTGCAACAAAAACACTTCTTATGTCACAATCACCTTCCTGTACAAGAGCCACAGGCTTGTCCCTTGGATAAATCCCACAAACCAGCAGTTCTGGCCTGTCACAATCGGCTCAGAAACCTGAGTTTAAGCGAGACAGAAAGATAAAGATTGCCAGTTTATGAAAAGTCCATTACAAACCCTAAGCTTACACCACGGAGAAAAGCAGCTGCTGCTCCAGCACAGGACTGCAGCAACTTCTTCAGCTGCGCTGTGACACCGAGCTCATTCTCTTGGGAAGTCTCTGCACACGAGGCAGCGTGGCTGTGTGCTCGGGAGGCAAAACAGGCACCAGAACGCTCCCAAACATGTGAAAAAAAAGGTACGGGAGCCCAGAGGCAAAGAAAACTTTTCCTAATCACTGTTTATACCCAGGGAAGAAGAATCTAATGAACAAACACCGCTTCTCAAACCTCCGGCACTTCTGCCGCTGCTGATGTTTGTACGCGACAGCCCCGGCGCTCCCGGGAGGCAGTGGCAGCCCGGCCCGGCCCGGCCCGGCTCGGGTCCGCCCGGCCCAGCGCAGCCCGGCCCGGCCCGGCCCGGCAGAGCCGCGGCTCAGCGCGGGGGCCCCGCACAGCGAACACGGCGCAGTCCGTACCGGTGGCAGCGTCTCGCACGGGGCCCGTGCGGGCAGCGGGACCGGCGGCAGCCGCTCCGGGGGCGAGGCCCCGAGATCTGCAGCGCGGCTCCGGCTCCCGAGCACGAACGGCGCCGCACACCGGGGCCACCCCTCGGCGGGGACACCGGGAGGGCTGTCAGGGCTCCCGGGCCCGCCCGCCTCGGCCCGGCCCGGCCGGGACGCCGCTGCCGCGGCCGCAGCCCCGCGCCGGAGCGCTGCCCGGGCCGGTGGGCGCGGCGCGGGGCGTGGGGCCGGCCCGGCCGCCCCCCCCCGTCCGGTACCTGCGCTCCCGGCGCCCGCGGCCCCTCAGCGCGGCGCGCGCCGCCCCAGCGCCGGCTGCGGCGGCCGCCGGGCCCCGCCCCCCAGCGCTCGCCCGCCAATCCCCGCCCGTACCGCTCTGACGCAGCTCCCGAGCGTCCAATGGACTGCGGGTAACCCGCCAGCGTAGCAACGCGACCCCGCTGGCAACAGCCGGCGGCCAATGGCGGCCCTGCGGCCACGCCCCGCCCTTCCTTAGCCCCGCCCCGCCCCTCGGGCCCCGCCCTCCCCCTCTTGCTCCGCCCCCAGCGCAGGGCCCGCCCCCGCCCTGCCCCCCGCCCCCAGCACTGGGAGGGCTCGGCCAGCGCCGGCCCCAGAGCGGGACAGAGGGACAGGGGGACACCGGGACAGGGGGACACGGGGACACCGGGACAGGGGCACCGCGGGACACGGGGACAGAGGGACACCGGGACAGCGGGACACGAGGACCGCGGGACACCGCCCTGCGGCAGTGCAAAGCCCCGGGGACAGCGGGAACCCCGTCCCGCCGCTCCCGGGGCCCTGGCAGGGGCATCCCCGCCCCATCCCGCGCTCTGGCTCGGGAGCCCCCCCAGTTCATTCCGCAGTTGTCTGGAACAGAACTTTACACAGACGGTATGATTTGGCAATCTTTATATCCACAATACATCATAACCATGCACAAAAATCGAGTGGTGTGTTTATTTACAAAGTGAATTGCACTTAACACAGGAACCAGGAATAAAAGTAAATGAAAGGAACCTCTCTTCTGGGTTGCATAAAGGCCCACTACTATTTATAGCCTACAAAGCCTGATAGTCAACACTACCATGCATTATCTGATCAGTGTAAAATAGGAATTGCTGTTATTTATTGAAACAGTGCAGCCCTGGAGATACTCATTCCATGGAAACATTCCATAAATCACCAACTTCATTTAAGAGTCTGCAAAGTAAAGAGAATCCACCCTTCAGCCCCCACTTACTGTGCTTTACTTGAAGGACAGTTCATCTTAACCTCCAATTGTCTGATTTTCCTTAGCTGAAATTCAAGCCCCTACCTTTAACACTGTTTTAGTTTTTTATGGAGGAAAAAATCTTCCCTAGGTGACTGAGCCACTTCCCTGGGATCTTCTTTTCTTCTATGGAGTCCAGAACCTCTAAGCAAGTTCTTCCTTCTGCTTGGAAGGGAAATGAGCACCAAGGCTTGGTAAGACTCACCCACAGACAGATCCCACCCCACCTTGTGGAGCAGAACAGCACGCAGGGATCAAAACACCAGGAGCAAAAATACCTCCTGTACAATTCTCCAACAGCTTGTGTTAAGTAACTGGTTCAAATAAAGGCTCAGCCCAAGCCCCACCAGGGCCAGCCAAGAGCTCTGTGCTCACACGAGAGGTCAGCAGGGAGTCACAGGACAGCACCCAAACGGGGCATCCCTGCCCCCACAGAGCTGGCCTCCACAGCACTCACTGAAATCTTTGTAACTAAGTCGCAAGCCATAACTCATCAACTGGATTTTTAGATTTATACAAATATGGAGCTTTAAAACTTTCCTAGGAACTAAACCTCCTTGTTCTGTGCAGGCTCCAGTGAAGATCCCAGACTAACTCCCCTGTCTGGAAGCAATGACTTTGCAGGAAAAGAGTCTGCATTGATCTGATCTGCCCAAGGAATTCATTTTACCAATTCACTGTTCGTGTGCTCAGGACCAAGTCACTCTTATGGATGCATTTTGGCCTTCACCCTCCCCATCAGTAGGAGAGGCAGCACGACAGACTCCTGCCTAATTCTGCATTAAGGAAGCTGTTCTAGACAGCAGCAGGAGCCTCTGTGGTTATGGCACAGGTGGCAGTACTCAGGGCTTTGTAGTGTTTTCAATAGTTAAAGGAAAGTCAGCCTCAACATCCAAGTAAAGCAAGCAAAGCACACATTCCTTCTTTTCACAGGCAGCTTTCCTGTTATCAGGAATTTTACAAAAGCCAAACTTAGCCCTCAAATCCCTTGGGGCAGATGGAAGAGAGCTGTAACCTTTTTTTTTCCTGACAGTAATACTGAGAGACACACAGCCAGCAAAGCTGTGGGATGAAGCAGTCAAGTTGAGGTTACATGTAGTCTGTAATTTCCACATCAGGAAAGCCTGCTTAAGGAGTCTGGGATATTGCAGAGCTTCTCTGAATGTCAGACAGCTCTCCCAGCATTTCCAGCTTCCTCAGGATTCCTCCAAGTCTTCCCCTCAGTAATTCCAGCACAGTAGAGGGCTGGGTTGTGTGGATGCAGTTTCTAAGGAGCACACAATGCTTCATCAGGACCCCAGGAACCCCAGACCACAAGCCTTGTCCCCAGTCTGTGCACAGGAACATGGCCTAACCTGGCACAACTGATCCAATGTCCTTTTTCTATTATCACACACAGCCCTGTGCTTACTCTGGGCAGGAGCACCTCAGACCCACAGAGGGGCTGCGGCTCTGCCTGGAGAGCAGCACAGCAGCCTGGAGAAGAGCCTTGTCTCACAGGGAGGGACCACAGCAGGTGAAAGCCCCCAGCCCATTCCCAGGGCTCCCAGGAGCTGCATGGGTGCAGGTGGGCACACACCCACTGCCCTGTGTGCCCCAGCACAGGGCAGGAGACCCTCCCTGCCACACAACACAACAGAATGGTCCAAGGTCCACCAGTGCTCAGGGGCTTTGGACAAGGGAGTTGTTCAAGAGCTCTTCAATACCCATAAATTTAACTGCACTTAAGCCCTAGACACTGACCTTTCACTGGGACTCTGCAGCGAAGTTTAAAGCCTTCCACAAAGTCAAAGACTAAAGAAAATCTTTGAAGAGACAAGCAAGTAACTAAACTGTTTTCTTGACTTCTCACACCAGGCCAGACTGATTCTAGAAACTTCATGTTAAGAGCAAGACTTGCAGAGTAAGCATGTTAATACATCACGCTGAACTAATGAGTCTTCTTAACAGTACAATTTCTCCTCATGCTGTCCAGCTGATTTCTTTATATAAAGTTTGTTCAAAAATTAAGGAACCCACCTCCACCAGTGTCCACTTGTTCTCAAATGAAATATTTTCAGTATTTCAGAATTTTCCATTCTCTCATTGCCAACTGTCTGAACACTGACTGCATTTCATGTTCTGGTCTTGGACCACCAAAAAGGAGATATCCCAGTTCCCACCTTCTCTCAACAGAATGCTAGGGAAGCAAATATCAAGTGTTGAAAGTGCTTCCTGAACTGGAACTCCCTTAGGACAGAGCCCTGTGATGCCTACCAAGGAATTCATACCCTCATTCAATGGGATCAGGCTGCAAGCATGCACCCTTGAACCTTGAAGGGAACCTCTAAACAAAGCTGAAGAGTAAAAGTGCCAGCACCACGTGCATCCTGTGCTGTGAGCTGGAGCCCTCTCAGTGCATACAGTACAAAATTAAAGGCATTGGTCTGGAAATCTTATAAAAGAAAAACCATCAGCGTTAACTGCCCTTAATTTTATTACGTAACCAGACAGAACAGTTGAGACTGGAATGTCAGATTTCCTCTTCAAGCACAATTCACAGTTTCATATTTGCTTTGTATCAGTAAAGAAAAATCAACTCACTAATATGCAGCTGGGATTCATCCAGTGAGGTACAGGCTCAGAATACAGAGCAAAAACTCACTGCAAATGGTGCCACAAGCCTTCAGGGAGCAGCAGGTGCTTTCCAGCTCTTCCTTTAGACCATTTCACCCAGTATTTGCCATCAGAACATTCAGCGGATACCAGAGGGGATACAGGTGTGCAAGAGCTAGTGAGTGATGAAAAGCCATCAGAGATTTGCACAAGCAAGCAAGAGACTGACTACACAAAGTTGTGGTAACATTCTTCCCATTCAGCACAATGAAGAATTACAGTAGTTAGCCCTGCCGATGACAAATCTGTTACATCAGTGAAGTACAATCATTTAAGAGTTACAGTCTGCAGTTCAGTAAAACGGTAAGAAGAAAACAACAGATTAGTAGTTATTATGTGAAATCCTAATATTATGCATTTTAGTAGAGGTCAATAGTGAAAGATCATGAAGAGAAAGTTCCAGATACTATGGATCTGCAGAAGTTTTACAAAATGTATAAAGTATTGTGTTTCTCTACAACAACCAAAACCCTTACAAGTGCAGGTATATATGTGACATGAAAATATTGCCTCACTCACTCAGACAGGGGCAGGAGAGATCTAGAGAAAAAGCAGCATGCAAAAAAAAACCCCTGGAACTAGCGCAGATCCTGCTTTCAGACACTGACCTACAGTACAAAAAGAAGCCTACTTGTACAGGCTGCAAAAGGTTTCTGAAATCAATGTGCTGGCACTTACTGTACAATAATGTTAACTGATTAACATAAGCCATGAATAAATATTACGCCACTTCATAAAGCCTGCACAGGCATTCATGGTGGCAGAGAAAGCAATGCAGACATATTTCATTGTTCCCAAATAAACAAGAAGAGAGAAAGATTTCCCAAGCAGGAAACAGTAAACTACACAGCCAGACTAACTGTATTAGGGGTAATTACAGAATAAGTAATGTTATTTTCAACAGCTTTCTTATGTGTGTGCAGCCACTAAAATCCTCACTGTGAGACTTCATCAGGACAGAAAACAGAGCATTTGGCAGGATAGCTAGTTTAATTTCTCCCCCATGTTTACAGAAACACAAGAAAAAGAGATATCTGATTATGGGAGGAAAAAACCTTGTCACCTAAATATAGTTATTTCTTCAACTGGTAGAGTCAAGTCCCATTGTTCCCCTCCCAGAAAATAACAACAACAACAAAACCAAACTGAAAAAATCCTAGCAAAACCAAAACAAGCCTATTTGATAAGAGTGTTTCATGGGATAATATCCAGCAGCAGATTTTCCAACACAAACATGTCTATCAGATCAGTGACTACATTTCAAGCCCAGAAGTCACCACATGGAAGGGGTTTCAGAGGCAGGAGGATGTTAGCCCTACAATTAAAGCTCTAATATGAGAGGGGAGACTTGGGAATGGAATAAAGGAGGGAGGAGGGAGTCACTGAATCACAGGAGATAGGAAGTGCACACAAGTTTCTAAATGAAGCACAGACAAAGTGGAGGGCACAAGAGTCATCTAGAGAAGGTCACAGGTTCTGACAGCACTGGAGTTTGTTGGATTTCTGTCCGTCAGTGGTTGGCGGGACGCTGATATCCACCACGTTGTTGCCTGGAGACTCATCGTGCGCAGACCGGTCGGCGATTTGCTTCTGCGACACGATGCGGTAGATCTCTGCAAGGACAGCACACGGTGAGAACATGCCGGAACTGAGAAGGAGATTTCAACTTGAGGGCTCTGAAAGGGAATCTAAGCTAATCAGATGTGGTGTGATGTTGCGGTGTGTCTTAAGCTTCCGGGTCCATTACCCAGGTGTGCCTATACCTCTCTCCCTTCCCCCTTGCCCCCATGCTGAGTGAGTCATTCAGGCTTAACATTCCAGTAAGGCCTCGAGTGGCTGGTCAAGTTCAAAGGATGCCCCTCAGGCCTGGGGGTCATTGGCCTGTCTGGGTGTCATCCCCCCCTGAGACCCTGCCCCTCTCATCGGGTTGGTGGCTCACCTGTACCTCCCCTCCCCCTGTCCCTGAGCTTAAAAGGTGAATCAGACCATGCGGCCGAGATTCTGTTGGAGCAGTTGCCTACATTCAGACCTCTGTAACCATGGAATAAACCTCTGGATTAAACCCTCCAGCAGAATCCATCTCCTTTTTCTCCTCACCATTCGCCTGAAGTCTTCCTCCTGAGGTAAACGGAGTTCCTAACAAGCCTGGACTTGTTCAGTGCCCAGCTGCAACCACCAGCAAGCCAAAGGTATCTCTGGGGTGATTACACCACAGTTGCTGCCTTTGGCCTAGCAGCGAGGGTCAGACTGGCCCAGGCACAATATAACTGGAAATATTGGGATTCATATTCCAATAGTGTGTAACATCTGGCTGGCATTCCATCTCTGGAATGAATACATCAGCTCTGTCTGGAAAAGTTATAAAGACAAGAGTCCTCACTGCCTTCCACAATAGCACTTCCTATCCTGTTCTCTTTCAATGATTCCATGAAAATGGGGATTATTAAAAGGGTTTTGTTGCAGCGTGTTGCAACTTCCTGTTTTACTTCCCAGTCCCTTCCCAGGTGTGGCAATACCTCTCTCCCTTCCCCCTCGCCCCCTTGCTGAGTGAGTTCTGTCAATCAGTCAAAATTCCAGCAAGGCCTCGTGTGGTTGGTCAGGTTCAAAGGATGCAATTCAGGCCTGGGGTCATTGGCCTGTCTGGGTGTCCCTCGTCCCCTGAGACCCTCCTCCTCCCACCTGGTTGCTGCTCACCTGTCCCTTCCCCTCCCCCTGTCCCTGGGCTTCAATTGATCCAGAACCATGTGCTAGGGATTCTGTTGGAGCTGTTACCAAGATTCAGACATCTGTGACCACGGAATAAAACTCTGGATATAAACCCTCCGGCAGAATCCGTCTTCTTTTCCTCCTCACCCTAGCCTGAAGCCTTTCCACCTGAGGTAAACTGAGTTTCTACAAGCCTGGGTTTGTTTCAGTGCCCAGCTGCAACACCCAGCCAGCCAAAAGCGTCTCTGAGGTGAAACACCACAGCTGCCGCCTTTGGCCCAGCAGCAAGGGTCAGACGGGCACGGGCACAATCTACCTGGTAATATTGGGATCATATTCCAATAGGTTTTCAAATGAGAAAGGAGCAAGAATGCTCATTCTAAAACAGGGAATCATCATCTTTCTGATTAAAAAAAAGTGAGCAGCATACTCTAGAAACACCAATCACCAGGGTGCTGGGAAACCTGCTGAGCAGCAACAGGTTACCCGATGCCCACCTCCACTCCTGGCAACCTGCTGCCACCAGGTAACAGCAATGCTCCTCTGCAACACATCAGTGTTCTTACCAAGTAACAGCAATGCTCGTCTGCAACACATCAGTGTTCTTACCAAGTAACAGCAATGCTCCTCTGCAACACATCAGCTTTCCTACCTATGACAGTAAAAGCTGCATGGGTCCATAAAGCCCCAGACTTCTCCAAATGAATTTATTTGACTCAAACTAACTTAATGCTTGAAAGCATACAGATCCACAAAGCTGTAACCACTGAAGACAGACTGCCAACTTAAAAGCTTTCACAAACAAACTGTTTCAATTGCATACTTAGCAGAAGTCTAGTAAGTGGAAAGGTTTTTAAGTTAAATTATTTCACTGACTATAAGTCCTTGTTCCAACTTCCCTCCATTGTGAAACAGGAAAAGGGCAAGTACTTTCCTGGAAGTCTGTGGTAAACATTATGGTCACATTCATACAGCCACAACCCCAAAACAGCAACACCCAAAGCCTTTAGTAAGGATTAAAAATCACAGAGGACTTTGCAGGATTTTTTTAAGGGGATTTTTGGTGGTTTTTTGGGGTTTTTTTTTTAAGAATCTGCACAACATATATTTATGTTGTTTAAAATGAAAACCTTTAACTCAAGGCCAATCTTGTTGCCACTGGCTACCAAGAGATCTTTGCTAAAGGGAGGAGGGTTGTTCAGAGGCTGTCACACCTTTTTCTTTCCTGCTCAGTACAGTATTTGAATTTCAGCTGTTTAGAGTGGTTGCCAAGTCCCCTTTGCTTTGGTGTAGCATCTCTTTGGGGTGCTTTGTGGTTTTTCTTTTCTTCCAGTTGTTAGTTATTCCTCAAACAAGTGGCCAGTAAGGAAACTCCTGCCCTGCTGTTCCCATTCTCTTCCCTCCACCAAGTCCCCTGTGGTGGTTCCCAACTCACTACTCTACACAGCACATTTTCCTAGGTTCCTTCTCTCTTAGAAGGATGATTCTCCCCCAGGTGTAATCACTTTAGGAATAACCTTTTCAGGACTTCTCAGTCTTATTATCCATGTGCCTATGCTACCTCACCAGACAAATTCAACACTTTTGGGAGCCCAGGGTGCTGTGAGAGAGAGGGGTTTGAGTTCAGTTTGCCTGGGCCTGACCTCAGATTGAGGTGTTACAGCACTGTGGCTCTCCCAGAGTGGCCTGAGGCCAGCATCTCTAACCAGGGTCAGTCTCAGGACAACACTGCAAGGGAAGACAGGATGGATGGTGACTGTTTAACTACACTCAGAACACTAAAATAAAAAATACTCTCTCTAAGTGCCAGGGAAGTTGCTTCAAATCCAGCCAAGTGTCCCAGATAAGCCACAAATCTGCTACACAGTGCAAGACCAGCCCAGCTCCAGCTCTGGGCAGTCAGCTCTGCCTCACACTCCAGATGCTTCACTAGTGGCTCTTTAATAACACAGATCTGCTGGGCACCAAATACAGCCCATTCCTCATCTGTCAGGCTTTTACCTATGGGGGCAGCTTGGCTACCCTTTATTTCCTGTCTGCCTCTTCTTGGGCACCTTGGAGCCAGAGCTGGGGTTGTTCAGTCTGGAGAAGAAAAGGCTCTGGGAAGATCTTAATGCAGACCACCAACAACTACAGTGCCCCAAGAGAGCTGCAGAGGGACTTTGGACAAGGGCCTGGAGGTACAGAACAAGGGGGAATGGCTTCCCACTGCCACAGGGCAGGGTTAGATGGGATAGTGAGAAGAAATTCTTGGCTGTGAGGGTGGGCAGGCCCTGGCACAGGGTGCCCAGAGCAGCTGGGGCTGCCCCTGGATCCCTGGCAGTGCCCAAGGCCAGGCTGGACAGGGCTGGGAGCAGCCTGGGACAGTGGGAGGTGTCCCTGCCCATGGCTCACTGTCAACTTGACATCCTCCAGAACCTCCAGGTCCTTCTCTGTTAGGAAATTTAGGAGACTAGAGAATGGAAAAGTACAAAGCCATGGCTAATTCCAAATCTTGCACCTGCGTTGATAGTGTGTCCTTGGGCCTAGCTGTAGTATAATAACAAATAGTGAAAGAGACATGAGAAAAGAGAGATGTAACCCCTAAAGAATGAAGAAGAGTTCATGGTATAGTTTAACCAATAGATTGCTTGGCTTACAGAATATTCATAAGCTTATTATTTGCTGTATAAGTGTTTGATGCTTCCTTCAATAAATTGGACCTGTGATGAACCACCTGGTGTCCTGGTCCCCTTCCTATGACACTTTTCTGCAGAAGATGTTGTTGGTGCAGTGCAGTCACCACCTCTGCTATCAGCTGAGACTAAAAGTTCAGTAGTCCGAAAATGCTACCAGCCTGCTTTGGTGCAAGAGAAGATACTGCAACATTTAACTTCCAGCATGGCTGGGGCTTCACTGCTGAGATTTTGTGCAGGCACAGAAGTACAGTTAGCAGTCCCTTTACAACAGTGCTATTGCAATAGCTTGAACTTATGGAATATCAGGAGATAGAAACCTCCAGGAGACAGAAACCCTCACCTGGGACAGAAAGGGGTGTATGGGGTGGGAGGCAGAACACAAAGCTGAGATCAGAAAGCTTGCAAAGCAACCACTGTTCCCATCACTCATTTCCAAAACATTCCAGAAAACTACAGACTATGCCCATGAAGAAGATCCACCACCTCAGCTGCTCCTCTGAATCCATAACAAACCATACCTGTAAGGATGTTCTTGAAGGCTTCTTCTACATTTGTAGAGTCCAGGGCAGATGTTTCAATAAAAGATAAGTTATTTTTTTCTGTAATAAACAAGAAGTGGTTCAGTTAAACAAATTAACGACACTTTATTTCACATTTACTTTGAGGTTTTTTAACTTTTACTTTAGGCCAAACCAGCCAGGGTACAGTAATTTTTTCTCATTTCCTTGTTGCAAAAGGAACATCTTGGTGCTGGAGTTCAGCAACATTTCCTTTGCCCAAAGTGCAAGAACATTTTCCCCACTGCAGCCCTTGCTCAGCCAAACAACACAAAATACCATTGTCTTCTGGCTACAGATCACACCCAGAGGTACCTTGAACAAGAGCCCCAGCAAAAGCACATCAGCTGCTACAGAGACACAATTCTCCTCTGCAATCCCAAGATCAAAAGACCTACATTTCCCTAATCAGACCCCACTTCCAAATAACAATGACCCCCTGAAACAGTCTATTTTCTTCTTTCCTCTTACAATGCAATTTTTAAAAATTATTATTAAAAAAAGAAAGTGATTAGCACTCAAATATCATACCTAGAATGGTTCTGTATCACCTGCCCAGGAACAGGCAAATTTCAGTAATGGAGCTTAAACAGCAACAATTAGAGCATCACTAGCAATTTAAAACAGCCTTAGGAGGAAGTCCAGGGTTAAAAAGTGAGAAGCTGAATCAAGTGACCGAAGTAAGAGACTATCTGGGGCACCCACCAACTTGTTTTGCTTCTTTTACATAAATGTCACTTCTCCTCCATCTGAAAACTTAAAGTGGCTTTATTACCCTCAGGGTACTTGCTTACCAGCAAACTTCAGAAAGTGTGTATAAGCAAGCCTTGGTAACATTTCTAGAGGTATTTTACAAGTTGTACATTTACAATCCACCTCCAAGCTTGACAGCCACACAAAAGCTGAATGTCCCCAGGCCTTTCAGGACAGACGAATATCTGACCAGTGCTCTGCCAGGTAAGGAAGAGAGAAGGAATGCAGTGGCAGCATCTTACATAACTCACTTGACTTCTCCCAACAAATGATAATTCTCAAACCTGATGATTGCTGCATTAAATGAGACTAGATGACACCACTACATGCATCAGTGCTCTAGAGCAGCAACCACCCCATCTAAGAGAAGCTTCAGCATTCATTTGTAGCTGTCCACATTGATATCTACTCAGCAGAAGCAGGTCTCTAGGAAGGAAGGATGGACATTTTATATTGTGATTTTTTTAATTTTTATTGTGATATTCTCTCTTCTGAACACTGCTTACTGTTTCTAGCCTTGTTAGAAGAAGTGTTTATTCTTCAGCTATCAGGCAGCTCAAGGACAGTGCTTCAAAAACATGTACTACCACTAGATTTAAAAAACAACAGAAAACTGCAAACTAAAAATGGCAAAGAGAATTCTCCAAAAAAACCAAACCAACCACACATGCCAGTTAATAAGTCAAGATATTTCAATATAAAAAAACCAAAAACTAACAAAACATCTCAAATGCCTTTTTTAGGGTCCAAACTAAAGCTGGAGGTGGGAGCTGAGCACTGGCCAAACGGTGAGATGCCAGCAGCCCCAGCCATACCTGTGGAGAGCCTGGTTCAAGCATGGCTCAAAGAAAGAGGCCATGAAGGTATACAGCTGAGGGAAAAGTAAAAGGTAGCTGTAAAGCAGCATTTCCCAGGCTTGAATCTGTAAATAATTAGGTTCTCAATCTCAGACAGTCTTCCCATAACAGGCAAACATTCTGTCCTTGGGCTCTCTGAGAACACTGATCCTGTTTTCAATAAACAAACCACAGGTATTGTAAACAAAAGGAGGGGTTAGAGTTTTCTCTGTAGCCTATCGTGAGCTCAAATTTTGCAATATGCATGAAGTCAATTAACACTGTTATAAAAAGTGGCTGATTTGATCAATAAATCGGAGTCGATGCTGATCAACAATAAAGATGGGTCGGCTCCCTTCGCTTTCAGCACATACCTGCGAAGGCCCGGGCCTCGTCGGTGGGCACGGCCCGCAGGTGGCGCAGGTCGCTCTTGTTGCCCACCAGCATGATGACGATGTTGTTGTCGGCGTGGTCCCGCAGCTCCTTCAGCCAGCGCTCCACGTTCTCGTAGGTGAGGTGTTTGGCGATGTCATAGACGAGCAGAGCCCCAACAGCACCGCGGTAGTAGCTGAAAGCAGGAGGCACAGAGGCACGGCCCTTCAGCAGGGCTCTGTCCCAGCCACACCAGCACCTAGCCCATCCCGCCTTCTGTAACACGCTCCTTGTCAGAAAAAGCTGTGCTGATGCAGGTACTCTTGTTGGAGTGGTTCTGAACCCTAAGACTGTGGGATCTCAGCACATCAGTCCTGATGTGCAGAGTCACCGAGATAACCCTTGGGGGGCTCGGAGGTCCTGGAATGTTGCCAGAAGTGTCTGGTGGCTGCACTTTGATCCTGCACAGGAGACGACACCTGTATGAGGATGGGAGGATCTCACTGGGATAAATGGTGAAGGGATAGGTTAATTAAAGTGTGAAACACAGGTTTTAGAATCTCGGTACAGGGGGGTCAAGAGAAGCAAGATGGAGGAATTGGGGCGTGTCCTGTCCTTCTTCTTCTTGGCCTCCATCTTCTGTGGTGGTGGTGGCACTTTGGGATTGGTTCTTACTAAAAGTGCACTTGTCAATAAGGGTGAAAGGCATTGGGGAAAATAGGTAAATGTCTTATACGTAGTTTTGGGTATAAAGATAAGTGACCACCCCGAGGGCTCTCAGTGTGCTCATGGCTGACGTGCTGTGCTCTGTCAGGCCAGGAGAAAATCTTGTACATAAAAACTAATAAACACTGAAGACCAAGAAAAAACCTGAAGACTCTTTTCGTCCTTTGGAGCGCGGGCTGTCCCAAGGCCATCCCGAGCCTTTCCAGGCCATCAAAAACAGCCGAGAATGGGACATAAGACCAAGTTCCAAATGCAACGCTTTCTTCTAATAGCATTTCTAAAAAAATCCAGTGTGTGTACCAAAATGCTGGAGAGCCTCCAGAAACCAGGACTGAAAATGTCCTGTCTGCTCCAGCTGTGTATAGGAAAACTCACCATTGCAGAATCGCTGCAGCTGGGAGGTTTTTGTGAAGTTACAACCTAACTTTCTCCAGGAAAACAGCCCTTAATAAAATGTGAGTATTTGTTCCTGATCCTTCAACTATCTCCTGTCCCTCCTACAAATTAAAGAGGGGACTCTGGACTATATTGTCACTATCCACCAACCTTTAATCCAGGAACAGGGTTTGCCTCCTCAGCGCAGGTTTGGGCCCATTTCAACACAAGCCAATCTGTATCAGCAATCCTGTAACATCCGTATCTCTCTTCCACACAATCCTACCATTTCTCCTCAGTTCTGCCAGCACCTGTCTGACATGCTGTTGAACTGAGTCAGGGCACCAAGTCAGCAGAAATCATTCTCTTTTCCCTGATGTTTGGCATTCTGCTGGCCGAGCAGGCTGAACTGGCTGAGTGATGTGTCAAGCAGCAACAAGTGCCAGCACAAAGGAGAGGCAGGATCACAGGACTGCAGCTGCACTAACTCCCAGCAGTAAAACCTGTTGTTGTTGACCCAGACTAGACTAGAAGTTTTTAGAGCAAGAGCAAGGGTCACAAAAAATTTTCTTTAAGTCACACTAAAAATTCCAGAAAATATTCAATTTGAAATCGTCACTTACATCTGCTTCTGCATCCCTTTCCGTATAGACTGCTCCCTTTGGGCTTCAGGGTCTCCTGGTTTTCTCCCATCCTGACAAAATTCCTTTTACCTTGAGTTTAATGGCTCAATCAGTTCGTGACTCAGAAACATGTTTTTACCTTTAAAAACTGATACACATCTGTAACATAACAAAAAATCAACTCACTGATCAAAAAATGCTCTGGAGAACCAGGTCTGACCAAAGGATTTGCTTTTTGTCCTCTGCAGGATACTTTTGCCAGCATAGAAATAGACAGAGCTCAAACCACTCTGCAGATTAACAGGGTGCCACAGGTGAAAAAGCTTCTCACCTCCAGGGATTGTGCCTGATGTTGCACAGCCTGCACTACCATTGTTCCCTTCCTACTTGCTGGCTATTCAGTGTCTGCGCTCATGTATCTAATTTTCAGGGCTGTGACTAATTCTAAGTCATTGAGATTTCAAAGGACTTTGTGGCTGCAGGTTTTCCTAAAAATACCCTCAGTCTCAAGACTGAGGAGGCAGTGGAGACCAGAAGCCATGGGTGTTACAGTAAGCCACCATACCTAGACCAAAGCTTGATACCAACAGTACCCAGCTTCCATCTGAAATGACACTCGCTCCACATAATGAATGCAGCACATTCAGCACAGACAAAAAACTAAATCCCAAAACTCCAACAGAATTTCCCACAGTTTTGATTTAAGCTGTCATTTGTTTCCATAACCATAACATGAGACTCTAAAACGTACTTTCATTATATTAATCAAGGGAACACAAAAGTATTTGGATATATGACTTGGATCCACACTTAAGCCTGTCACAATGACATGTCATGTGTGCCAAGTGTGTTTCACCCTCTACCCATCCATTTATCTGCAGCATTTATCTCTCTGGAATCCCATGGAGCACAGGCAGGGTACTCACGCTGAGGTGATGGCTCGGTATCGCTCCTGGCCCGCAGTGTCCCAGATCTGGGCTTTTATCGTCTTCCCATCCACCTGGATGCTCCTGGTGGCAAATTCCACCCCAATGGTGCTCTTGCTTTCCAGATTGAACTCATTGCGTGTGAAACGTGACAGAAGATTACTTTTCCCAACTCCAGAGTCTCCAATCAACACAACTGAAAGCAGAGACGTTATTTTCACAATTAATTTCTCACACCAGCACAAACTCCAGGCTGCAGTGAGGCCTGGCAGGCAGCACCCACCAAAAATGAGTCAGATAACACAGGAGAGACAACACAGACAACACCACAGTCTTTACTATGCACACCTTGCTTCTCCAAGCCCAGGAGAGCCCCAGGCTGTTTTGTGGGAGCCTGGTCCTCAGAGATGAAAATGAGAAATTGCTACAGTGACTCTCAGAGTCAAACAGTGCTTTGGAAGCCCCAACCACTGCAGCAGGCAGAGGTAAGACATGCCCCTCACACACTCAACCTTTGGCACAGGAAGGCTGCAAGCCACATTTTAAGAAACACTACAGGCAAGAACACGGCAACAGGCCACTTGTCTGCCCAACAAAAGCCTTTGTACAGTGTAAGTGTACTCTATTTTTATTTTAAAAAATAAAAAACATGGTAAGCAAACAATCATTTGCAGTCCCTGTTGGAGTCATATAGGGTATTCTAATTCAATAATTTAATTAATAAATCTGTTCACCACAAAAAGGGGAAAACAGGAGATATTTGGTACTACAAAAAAGATACAAAGCAAAGCAGAACTTCATCCAACAAAACAAGTTGTAGTAGACTGCATGAGAAGTAAGAGATGAGCTAGAAACCTCTGCCCCCACACATGGTGTTGCCATGATAACAGAAAAATGTAAGTGCAGAGATCTTCAGCACACAAAACCCAGCTTTCCTGAAAGGAATTGTGAAAACAAAGGCACATCTTGAGGCAGGAGGTTCCCTCTACTTTTTTGCTTATAGATGAGAGCAAGAAACAACAGAGAGAAACAGAGCTGAAACAGCTGAGCCAAGCTCCCTTCCTCTCACAAACACTCTTATCACATACCCTTTGGAATTCAAGTGTCCTGGCTCAAGCAAAAAAGGAAGAAAGGCAGCCAGCCTCTGTGAGCTTCTTTAACCTTGGGAATATTTCCTACTCCAGTTCTAAGCACAGATTTGCTGATCTTCCTCATTCATGGACAAAAAATAGTCTCAATTTCCCCCCAGCAACTACAGAAGAACCTTCTCATTGCACACTCCCAGAATGAGCTCACCAGTGTTTTCCCAGGGCCAAGGATCGTACTTGTCTTTCAGTGGTGCTGCAGCTTTTCTCTGCTCAGGCCATTGTTGAGGATGGAGCCCTGCTCCAGCTCGCTGCCATCCCAGCCCTGAGCACATTCCCCGGCTGGTGCTGACCCTGGCTCTGCTGCACAGGGCCATTGTTGAAAGGCTGGAGAGCCCCTGTGCAGCTCATCTGCCTGAGAGCACAGCAGACAATTGTGCTGGCACAGCTGAGCAGGCAAACACAGCACAGCAGGAACGGGCAGCCCGCACAGCGTGGCAAGGCACCACAACTCCCACCCAGGAGAACCTCAACCAGCTCCTCACAGGGCTCTGCCTGCCCTGGCAAGCAGCCTCAACCACTTTTTAGGGTATGAGAACAGATAGATTAAAAAAAAAAATATTTTATTCCAAGTTATAACTCTAGGATTTTGTCAGCTTTATTTTCTGGACAGTTTTCCATCACTAATTCCACGGGAGCTTCCAAGAACAGGCAGAGGTCACCCATCCTGCCCAGGGACCTGGAGCTGGAGTAGGCTCTATCCTACAGCAAAGCCCCGGCCAGAACCAAAAGTAACAATATCCACCACACAAGCTAGACCAGATTGGAAGACCCCTGAGGCTTCCAACTGTTTCTGAAGGGAGCTATCTTCCCATGAGTTTGCAGCTGGAGAAAGCACAGCCTTTCCACATTCTAGCCATCTCTCAGGCTCTGGCATTTTAAAAGTATCAATTTGGGGCATAAACCATGCAAATGGCTCCCAGGTCATTAACTCCATCTGTCACTGGAAGAAAATTCCAGGGGTCCTGTGCTCCTCTGGCTGGTTATTCACAGGCTCCCTTCACCGTGCTGCCCCACACTCCAGCAGAGCTTCTAGGAGAGCCTTTTTCAGAAGTCACAGGAAGGCAACCAGATCCCAATTCAATAAAGAGCATTCCTAGAGTTTCCATGTGCTTCCTATTAATACCCAATCTTGAGCAGTAAAATGACATTTTCACTTTCAGGAGAAAGATGCCAAGACTGGGGGCCCTACATGCAGAGAGAGCTACAAACTTATTTTCTACGGGAGCTGGGCAAGAACCTTCAACATTCTGGACTAAGTGATTAGATCTTGGGAAAGTTTCTAAATTTGGTAACAGACCGCCTCACAGTATTGCCTGTTCAAATTCAGAAGTCATGACAGAGAAGGAAAGAGTTCCCAATGAGAGGTTAAGAGTCTGAATACTCTCTAAACACATCTCACCAGAACCGAGGAACTCGCTCTCAAAATGCCCCTAAGGGCCACACTGGAGATGAAAAGATCCTGGCAGTGACATGAACCAATAACCAGCACCAGCCACCTTCAGATGGCCCAGAGCACACAGACAAGCCTTGCACAGTGCCCTGTTTATATCCTGAATCCTGCTCCTTCAGTATTTCCTGATTTTCCCTCTCCTCCAGCACCCACTGCCACTCTGTGGGTTATGCATCACCACCACATCACCCATCCATCAACTCAGTCACCACCTCACTCTGCCTCCTGTGTCTGCAACACCCAGAGCTGCAGCACAATCCCACCCCAAACACCTGCCCTGGATGCTGACATCCTTGTACGCAACAAGCCAAAGTCAGAATGGAAATTGCAGTGCCATACATCACTGGTAAGAAAGAGGAAATAAACAAATCAAGTTTATGACACAATTCTAAAAACACTCATTTATCAATCTGGGGAAAAGAATATATATTTTTGAGTATATAAGAAGATTAAGACTCCCTCTAGCAGAGACCATCTAATGAGAGTTTGTGATAAATCTGAAGTACATAAGGTTGCCAGATATTGGTGACTAATAGGATACACATTTGTTGTTAAAAACCACAGCCTTAGCTACACAGAGACTAATCAGAGCAGTCTAAATTCCCACAAAAGTAAAAGAATGCTCTTTTGCCCTATGGCTGATTTTTCCTGCCTTTTTCATGAGCCAGCACACATCTGCACAACCTCAGATTTAATTTTTAAAATAAACACTGATAGTAGCTAATCTTGGGAGCAAAATTAATGTGCAGCTCACATTTAATAGGTACAAGGCTTCCAACATTTTTAATGGCTCTTCAAAGGTCACGAATTCAATTCCAAATCAACGCATTCAAAACACATCCTGAAAAGTCCCTGCTTTTTCACCATTCCTGCTACAAAACTAACTGGGAATAGAGGCCAGGACTGCTGGCTCCACTTGGGTCACATCCCTGAGCACAGGCACAAGCTCTTCGCAGTCTCACACCCCACGCAGCCCTGCACACACAGCTCAGCTCCTTCCCCCAAAGGCTGGCTTAGGCACTTTGGTAAAGAGTAATATTCTGTTGTGATCAATAAAATAAACAGTTCTGCTGGGATGCACGCAGAAAAAAAGGGAAATTGGGAACAAAGAAGCAGTAGGTCAGCAGAGCAGATCTGACTGTAATCACTCACAATCCCAGACTGCTCCCAAACCTTGAGTAGTCATTGCCTGCCACACGCTGTCCTTTGGAAACAGGTGGCAGGGGAAACAATCAAGCTTTAAATTTAATCAAAACAAACCTTCCCTGACTTAAGATCCTCCTACATCATTATTTCTACCTCTAACTACTACACAGACTGACAGAACATAGTTCAAAAGTCATCTGTGTAGCTAAGAAGGGGCTAAATCACAAACCAAACTGAGTCCCGGACATCATTACAGCAACTGCCCTTGAGGTTTAATTCTACTATTGAAGGAGGCAAAAAGTAGGAGAGTTGGTCCCACAGCAGAGCACTCACCCCACTTGGTCCCATTTATATTTTTTTTTGTCTAGTCCCAAAAAGCCTCAGAAGAAGGAAAAGATAAATAATCAAACCCACAAAGAAATCCTTCTCTATCTATTTTTTTTTTTTAGAAATCCACACAACAACCCCTCCCAAAAGATGCACAGAAAAGGACAATTCTCTCACCCATTTTTTATGAAGTGCTACAAAGTTTGCCAGCATCACCACAGCACAGATCCTGACCAAATGGCTTTAGGTTCAGTCTCATTCCAAATAACATTAAAAACGCATTTCAAAGCAAGTATTTTCAAGATGAATGCATTCTCCCTAGCTAATTGACAATTCAGAGCAAGAAAAAAATAAGTACAATTTTTAGGCTTTCAAGTTCCTGGCTATTAAACCACCTGGGAAACAGACTTCAGAAGGAAACTACTTTAGACTCAGACAGTTTAGTATATTTTTACAGGCTGGTTGTCTGCTTTATAGGCAGAGAAGAAATAAGGGCTTTTTTTCCCCCATTGTCTTCAAGATTCAACCCACTGTAAAACAAATAAAGCAAATGGGCAAATATATTTATAAAATATTTCCCACAGATGAGTAACTGTTCTTTTCTTTGCTCCACCAGTTCAGAAGCACTGCTGCCCTTGTGAGCGTCCAGGTACAAAGACATCGAATGCCTGGGAAATTGTCACAGCAGCAGGAGACCCCCAGAGCCCTCACAGTCCGCCACAGCACCGCTGGCACTGCCCCTCCCAAGAGCGAACTCTGGGGATGGAAATCAGCTTTCAGCCACTCTACCAACAGTAGATCTAGTGCAAAACAGGCTAGGAAACCAAAGCCGAGGGTGCTACACCCACCTGCACTGCTCCTCGGGCCTCACAGGCAGAGCTGTGGGCTGCTCCGGGAAATTGGGCAGCTTGAGCCCCTGGACAGGCCGGCCTGGGGAAACACCCACGGGACAGAGACCCCGCAGCCATCCCACGGGATGACATCCCCCGACTGTCCCGGAGCCAGCGCAGGAGGAGCAGCACCGAGCCCTCACAAGAGCCCTGGCCAGCCCGACATGCCACAGGAAGGGGCAGGGCAGGCGGCAAGCACCCATCAGCACAGCCAGTTAACGCTGCTCCGCTCCCAGGCTCCCGGTACCGGCGCTCAGCGGGGACCTGCGAAGGAGCCTCCACCGAAGCTGACGGTTTGGCAGCTCCGACTCTACACCAGGCGATCTCCACACAGCCACGGGCACGGCTGGGCACAGCCCCGGCCCGCGGCCCGCCCGCTCCCCGCCGCGGCTCCGGTCGCCCCCGGGGATCGCAGCCGCCCAGCTGCTGGCGCACAGCCCACGCGGGCCGGACCGGGCCGGGCCGGGGTGGAGCGGAGCGGGCAGGCCCTTGCGGCTCTGCCGCCGCTCCCCCAGCTCTGCCCCGGCTCCAGACCAGGCCGGGGGCCCACAAGGCCGTCCCGCGCACCAAGGCCGCGGCGGACGCCCCGGGCCCGCGCGACCCGCTGGTCCCGGCCGAGACCGGCGCGGTGCGGCGGCCGCGGCCCTGCTGAGCACGTACCTTTGAACAGATAGTCGTACTCGTCGTCGCGGGTGCCCATGGCGATGGCGGCGCCGACCCTCTGCCTGCCCGGCACCGACCGCGGCCCAGACGGGGAGGGGCGCTCCGGCACCACCCAATCAGCGCCCGCCAGAGACCGCAGGAGGCGGGCGCTGCGCCAGACCCATCAACAACAGCCAATGAATGACGGGAATTCTGCTGACTGGCGGAGAACGGTGCCCAATCGAAGAGAGGCAGCTGGGGAGGGGCGGTGCTTGGGTGCCCGAGCCGGGACCCTGAGAGACGGGGCGGGGTTTGTGTGAGGGCCGGGGCGGGGCTCCGGGGCGCGGAGCGGGGGCAGGCTGCTCGCGGCGGGGGCTGCACCGGGTGGAGGGCGGCTCTCAGGGCCCTGGGGACCCTCCCGGTTTGAGCGGGATCGCTGGGAGAGAGGTTTCGCCCCGTTTGAGAGTGACCCCCGATCGCTGGGGCATGGCGCCGGCTCTGGGCGGGGGAGAGAACCGGCCCGGCCCGGGGGTCAGCGCAGCAGCGGAGCCGGGGAACCCGGCGGGGGAGGCCTTCAGCAGCGCGGCTGCCTCCCAGAGCCCCCGCCCCGGCCCCCTCGCTTCCCCCTCGGGCTGCTCCGTGCCCCGCTGAGCGCTCCCGGCCCCACCTTCCTGCTCAACACCAGCTGAAAGGCCGTTCTGGCGCATACATGCCCTCACGGGGACACAATTGCTCGAGGAAAGCATTTCCCCTTCTTTTTCCTGGCACGGCTCTAGGCAGTTTCCTGAGCGGAGCAGTGACGAAAGGCAGAGGCTGTGGCCGCTCGGGCAGTGACGGCGGGACGCCCTTCGCCTCGGCTTTGCGGGCTCCAGGTGGGACATCCTTCATCCTTCACCTTCCCGACGGCAGAGCTACAGCAGCTCACGCTGGGAACGCTGCCCGGGCTGCAGGAGCAGCCTCTCGGGTGTCCTGCTGCCCTGGTGGCCCCTCCTCGTGACCCCATACAACCTATGTACACTTGTGTCCCATCACTGGACTGACACCTTTGGTTGTTGTTGGACAAACCCTGGCAGGGAAGCTGCCGACTGCCTCCCCTCCTCTGTGATGTGCAGGGAAGTGGCTCTGCTCATCACACATTTCCCTCTGTGCTGTGCTCCTCGCAACAGGTCTGCCCTACTTCCCTGGAGGAGTGTTCATCCAGCTAAAGGATTAGTGCATCTGCAGTATCACAGAGGGAGCAGCAGCAAGACTGAGACAATGGTGAGGAAAAAACTCTGGCTTTGGACTTATTTTTGCTGGCTTTGGGTGATGCTCAAAGTGGGAGCCATGTCAGGGTGGGGACAGATTCAGACCCTCCAGGCTCTGTGGCTCTGAGCTGCTCTCAGCTTCCCCCAGTTGTGAACACCTTAGACAGGCAGGACCATGGTATCCAAGGGATCCCATTTCCAAAAATAAGTGCTAATGAATTAATGGGGGCAGACAAAGAGGCAGCAGCCTCACAGCTTGGCTGGGTGACACCCAGGCTATCAATGACCCAGGCTCTGAGAATGGGTGACAACCAACATGCTGCAAGCACACTACGATCCCACTGCCAAGGTGTCCCTGTTGCATATCAGGCAATTGAAGCAGCAGGGAAGGAAAGCCAAAATTTCACAGAACCTGCAGTCTAGGAAAGATGCAGCTCCAGCCTAGCAATGGTTTGAGCCAGTTGTTCCTCTGTGACAGGCAGCAGTTGCTGAAGGAGTGGAGAGGGAATCTTTTCTTAGGGGTTTTGGTGCTCACATGCAGCATGGAGCATCAGACTTTTAATCCTTCTGATGCCAAAGGGAGTTTTAACACCAGGATCTACAGGAAGGTGTTACTACTTTCTCCTGTTGATGCTGTTCCTGTTTCTGCAGGACCCCAGTGAAATGCCTTGGTGGGTGATGACTAGGGCACATCCAGGGGTTCTAAGCATCCAATGATCAGCATTCAATAGCATCAGGAGGAACAAAGCTGGAACATGTTGGATGCAGAATCTCTTAGGAAGGGCTATTGTCCCATGCTGAGTTTCTCACTGCTGACAATGCTGCAACCAGTGAGTGGCTATGTGACAGGAGGGAGAGGAGGGTGACTCCTTGCTCGTCTGCAGAGGGGGCCTTTACTTCCCTGATTTGCTCTGCACAGTAGAAGTAAAACATCTTATTTTCATTATTACAAGTAACTTTTTTAGTTCTGAACTGAACACTTATGGAGGAAGGCCTAAAAAACCACTAAAGCTATTTTTTATTAGTTTGGATGGAAATCACTTTCTTCTTTTCTTCTAATGCCTGGGAGTTCTTGCCAAAAGTTCTAAAGAGCAATACATAATGGTGGTACCATTGTGAGTGCCTTTCAGCTCCAAAATCCCCTGGGACTGGTTTTTAACATGGGCTGCAGGGAATGGAGATGATGACTTGGTGTTAGAAGAGGGATGCTGTCTTGGGGCTGTGTAGGGTTAAGCATGAGCTCGTAGTCCCCACATTCTTCACATCCTGGAGTTCCCCCAGCTCGTGGCATGTTTTGCATTGGAGAATCACTGTCATGTCACCAAAACCAGCTATGTGTCACTGATGGGGTAATGCAATTGCAGAACCTTCCACGTGTCCTCAAATTGGCCACAGGCCATAAAGCTTCCAGGGCAGTGGCCTGAGGTCCCACCTGGGTCAGCAAACTGGTGAGGAAACTCCCCTGTCACCCCTGTCAGACCATTCAGCTGCTGCTCTGGGGTGCCACTGTCAGCACACTGGCACTGCTGGGGTCACAGCCCCTTGGCAGCAGAGGCTGCAGTGACCCCACGGGCCCCGTGGGGGTCCCTGCACCCCCCACAGGCCCCATGTGAGTCCCTGCAACCCCACAGGCCCCGTGGGGGTCCCTGCGCACCCCACAGGCCCCCAGTAACACCAGCTCCTCTCACCAGCTCAGCCCCGCGTTCCCACAGCACAGCCCCAGTTCCTCTGTGGTGCAGGGACACAGAACAGCTGAGCTGGTGCCCTGGGGGGACCCCAGACAATGCCCCCCAGGGCTGTGCCCATCCTGATGCTGATGTTTAGCCTGGCTCCTATTCCTGGCTCCTGCAGACTCCCAGAGCCTTCACGTGGCTCCTTAGGGCCCCAAACCCTTGGTCAGGCAAAGGTCAGTGCCAGGTCCCAGCCCCTTGCTGGGGGCTCTGGCCATTCCCCCCACTCTGAGCACAACCTGCAGATGTTGCAGCTCCCTGAGCTGGGCACTGGAGCATCCCACAACAGCCCTCCCTTTGTTTTAGTGGGGCACCCTGCTAATATATTGAAAGGAAGAAAAGAAAAAAAAAAACTTTCAAGATATTTGAGTACTGCCCTTATATACAATATTATCACAAGTAAAAAACATAGCAGAATTAAGACCAACAGGGTGAAGTACAATATAGACTCCTGTGCACAAATACTTCACAAAATCACAAAGGATTCTCAGAAGGCAGTTATTTATCAACCTGTTGATCACAGAATCACAGAATCATTAAGGTTGAAAAAGACCTCTGAGACCACCAAGTCCAACCTGTGATCAAGCACCACCTTGTCCACTGGACCAGAGCACTGTGCACCACATCCAGTCTTTTCTTAAACACCTTCAGGAACAGTGATTCCAACACCTCTCTGGACAGCCCATTCCAGTGTCTAATCACCTTTTCTGTGATTGTCCTTCCAAATGTCCAACGTAAACTTCTAGTGCAGCTTGAGACTATCCTCTTGTCCTGTTGCTGGCTGCCAGGTAGAAAAGCCCAACTGCCACCTGGTTCTACCCTCTTGTCAGGAAGTTGTGAAGAGCAAGAAGGTCCCCTCTGAGCCTCCTTTTCTCCAGGCTGAGCCCTCTGAGCCCCCTCAGCTGCTCCTTATCAGACACTTGCTCCAGATCCTTCACCAGCTTTGTTGCTCTTCTCTGGACTCAGCACCAAAATGTCCTTGCTGAACTGAGTGGCCCAGAACTGCACACAGAACTCAAAGTGCTGCTAAGTTCAGAAGAGGAATCACCTCCCTGGTCCTGCTGGCCACACCTTGGCTGGCACAGGCCAGGTGCTGTTGACCTCCCTGGCCTGAACACTCCTGGGCTCGTGTTCAGCTGCTGTTGACCAGCATCCCCAGGCCCTTCTCTGCTGGGAGCTTTCCAGCCACTCTACCCCAAACCTGCATCACTGCAGGGGATTTTTGTGGCCAAAGTGGTGTAGGAACTGGGAATTGGTCTTTTTGAGCCTCGTGCTGTTGGTCTTGGCCCATCAATCCAGCCTGTGCAGATCCCTCTGCAAGGTCTTCCTACCCTCCAGCAGATCAACACTGCCACCCATCTTGGTGTCATCTGTGAATTTACTCAGGGTGGGCTCAATCTCCTTATTCAGATCATCAATAAATAAACTGAACAGAACTGGGCTCAACACTGATCACTGCTCACTACTAGTGAAACTAATTGAACAGATCATCTACTGGTTGTTTGATGTGAGAAGAGTATATCCAATTTTTCTTACCCATAACTTTAACAGCAAAATAGGAACACAGTAAAATAGCACATGACCCCTCCTTTTCTAGGTACTAATTTGGATTTTCTAGAGAATACCTTATTTAAAATTCCATCTCCAGGCTGTATATCATGTAGCTGTATTTCAGGGGATTGAGTTGATAACACTGAGCATACTTTGTTCTTTGAAACCTTTCTGAATATATATGACACACTGAGTCAATCTCCATCCAATAAGCTGGGATATAAGATCCTGGCATTGCTAAGTGCCTTCCAAAGAGAATTTATGTTCATGTCAGCCCTATAGCTTATCACAGAGTATTCTGAGTATGCCACAGAGCCAAATGTAAGGCTTCTGGACATTTCAGATTAGTGTACATGCATCTTTTCACTATCTTTTCTTTTAATGTTCTGTTAATTCTCTCTACTTCTCCTGAAGACTGTGAGTGATATGGTATATGTAATTTCCTTTCTCTCCCTAAAGATTTGTACAGCTGATGGATTATATTTGCTGTAAAATGAGCACCTCAGTCTGTTTCAATAAGCTCTGGAACCCTGAGTATCAGGTACAACTTCCTTTAGCCAGGCATTTACTACTCCTCCCGTGTCAGCCCCTCATGCT